TGGACATGAGCACTTCATAGAGTATACCAAATATGTAAAAAAAATTCCAATAAAAATCCACAAATGGCACATTAAAATCTGCATTATCTGAAATCAAATTATAGGTACCTAAACGGCCAATCAGCCAGACAACAGTGACAAGACGCCGACATCGATAACGCGATGAGCAGTTTTTAATAATTATTCCGAGTTAATACTTCAAGTAGCATTCCTTCAAATAAAATTTAATTTAAGTATTGTTAATATAGTCATATTAATGATTATAGCCTGTATGATTTCTAAAATAAAAAATCAAGCGTGTTTTTATCAGAATAATTATTAAATGATTAAATAGAAATAGTTAATATTTATTAACTTCGTAAGTGTTACATTTTAATATAATTATGGATTTAATAATTAAATAATTATCTTAAGGTTAAATTGTGGTAAACTTGTTATGAGTTTCAATCATTTATATTTAAAATCTTAGGGAAGCAATATAGATTTTAGGCAGAAGAACGCAACGGAAGGACTGTGTAATTAGTAATTAAAACTTTAAATTTTTTTACTTGCCATTTTTCTTGTCTTTCACGTTGCACGTTGACTCTTCGTTGTGTCACACACAATCTGAATTTCGGATATGATGCAAAACTGATAAATTAGACTAAATATATTAATTGCAAGGTATGCAAAGAAATATTTTTGTTAACTTTGTAAATACTTAAGGCATGCAATAATTTAAAAAAAAATTGACGTGAGATTACTTACTTAATTATTAAGGGTCTGTTTTGTTTAAGAAGCTAATAAATAATTTCAAAAACTCAAATATCAAAATATAACGGTTGCGAAAATTGGTGAAATTTTGTTGTACGGCGAATTTAAATTTATGGGCCCTCCATAAATTTACCCCGTAAGTTCGAATATTAGGTAAACCTAGGAATACCCAGGTAATAGCCGGAAATATGCAAAAGAAGGGGTGAGTTTAGGTTAGAGTAGAATTAGGTTTTAGTTGGTTTTGAATTAATAAAAATATAGACCTAATCTAAACTTAACCGAAACTGACCCACTTTTTGGTATATTTCGGGCTCCTACGTAGGCAACTCTACGTTTAACCAATATTCGTGCTTTTACGGTAATATAATACTCATTCTGATTGGTTTAATCTGGCTCTATAACAAAGCTGTGGGTTCGAGGTGCTATTGCAAATTAATGCAATTAATTTTATAAAAGTATAAAAAAAAAAACAAAATAACGTTACATGAACTATTATAACAATAAAACCTTAAAGTAACAAAATGTAAAATAACAAAACCAAAATAACGTTACATAAACAAAGCTAAAGATTAGGTGGATATAATTTTGAAATTTAAAAAAAACAATGTATGTCACTGTCAGTATTTGTTCTTTTGAACAAAAAACGGCAAGGTATCCAATAAAATGGATATAATACCATGTTAAAGACCATATCACCATAATCCCTCCTCTGATATTTCTCCACGTTCGCTCTATATTCTGGGTATGAATAGTTCCATCATTTGGATCTACATAATTGATGGAATTATTAATAACAAAGTGCTGAAATCCTTCATCATTCAGTGTATCATTGCTTTTCCAACAATCGGATACTATTGTTGTGTCTGGTAGAATCCATTCGGCAATGAATAACCCGAAGTAAAGTTGCAGAACTTCGATCCGGAACAGGTACCAAAATATCTTCTTGGAAGCTTGCTCTCGTCTCGCGCTCGGCTCGTCAGGTCTGGACGCACCATAGACTGCCGGAGTGCTGACGTCACGAATGTCAAATTGCTTTTCAAACAAGGTTTAGTTCTTTTATATTTCTATTGAGCTCTTCCGAATGACGTCACAAATTAATATAAAATGTAAAAAAAACAGGTGATTGCCGACAACCGACGACTTGTGTATGGTATTTTCAATACGCCTATGATGGTTGCGCATGTTGCAAAATCTGTGAATTTTAATAATAATTTTAAATAGAAAAATGGCACTAGATTTCAAAATATTTTATTATATTTTTGGTGCTACTTGGGATTTATTTCACTTTATGACCCTAAAAATTAACAAATTTTCTATAAAATGAAGTGTATAAAATATAGAGCTTAAGTTGAAGAAAAACGGATTTTTTTTAAATAAGAGAGAAAAAAATTCTAATCCCAAACATATCCTTGCGCTTTTTCATTTGCGCTAACAGCGCGTTTTTATTGCCAGGTCTATAGCTGTATCGATGGCAATTTAGCCATTTTGTTATAGTAAAGTAATCTAATTTGTATTAAAATTTAAAAAAAAACAGATGCGCATCAAACAAACAAAGAAAAAGGTTCGCAGCGTGTATTCATTTGCTGGAGCTATAAATAAGTAATTTTCTAAAAAAATAATTATGAATATCAAAGACCTATATTATGTAAATTATGAGTATGGGTAGATATAGGATTAAGAGAATATTTTATCATAAAATATCGAAGGCAATAGTGATATTAAGGCGATAGAAGCAGATAATTTCATTGATCTGTAGCAAAAATCAAACAAACATTCAACAATGAAAATAATTTATTTTATTTTTATGAAATATATAACAATAAGACCTTAAACTAACAAAGTATAAAAAAAAACAAAATAACGTTACATGAACTATTATAACAATAAAACCTTAAAGTAACAAAATGTAAAATAACAAAACCAAAATAACGTTACATAAACAAAGCTAAAGATTAGGTGGATATAATTTTGAAATTTAAAAAAAACAATGTATGTCACTGTCAGTATTTGTTCTTTTGAACAAAAATTCGGCAAGGTATCCAATAAAATGGATATAATCTCTCTTCTACCATATCGGGGAATCCCTCCTCTGATATTTCTCCACGTTCGCTCTATATTCTGGGTATGAATAGTTCCATCATTTGGATCTACATAATTGATGGAATTATTAATAGCAAAGTGCTGAAATCCTTCATCATTCAGTGTATCATAACTTTTCCAACAATCGGATACTATTGTTGTGTCTGGTAGAATCCATTCGGCAATGAATAACCCGAAGTAAAGTTGCAGAACTTCGATCCGGAACAGGTACCAAAAATATCTTCTTGGAAGTTCTTTCAAAACCTCCAAAAACCTACTGTCCTTCTATACGACGTCCCCTATTATATTTACGCTTTCCAAATTTAGCCTCGTTAATTCCGACAATCTTCCTAGGACCACCTAGTCGTTGGCAATGGTCCAAGCTCCATTGTATACATACTTCCCTGCAATATGATGACCAATCAACAACTGTTCTTTAACTACATTTTATTTCCCTCATTATAAATTTTGGAGGAGGATATGAAACTCTCAACCAAAGTAGAGTAAATACAGCACATTCTCTATTGTTAACTTGGACTTGGAAAACCATGTAGGTACCTTTTCTTCCAGTTTCATTAGTACTGCATTTCATAATTTTGGCTTCGGTGAACTATCATGACACACGATTTTTCTTAGAAAATGAAGCTTATGTTACCTTAAAATGAACTTCTTGGATTATTTGACTAAAATCTGATGTGGAAAAACACGTTTCACATAAAAGTATTCTTAAAAATGTTGTTATATTTTATTTTTATAACCGATAATGAAAGAGTCGCGGACATAAAGTCGCGGACTTGTTTATATCCGTTTCTATGTTTACGCTGACAGTAGTGAAGGTCGAATTTTGACAAATATTGCGAATTGATACATGGTTGTCAGATCAGCTAGTAAATCATCCGGAATTTCATGCAATTTTTTTTAGGGAATAAAATGACATCATAGATTTAAAATGTTTTTATTTTTTATTTTTATTAGTAGACCATGATTGATAATAAAAGAAGCTAAAATATTATTCAAAGTATACTGCTAGCTGTGTCTTGTTTTATTTTGGGAGCTACTAATAAATTCTTTATATATTATGGAAACTTAACTCTCTACCGCTATTTGTATATCTTGGACTATACTATCTGTTATCATACCGGAACTTTTAGATATTCCTTTAGATAATATACGTGAAATATACTTTCAGCAAGATGGGATTTCCTGTTTGAAAATATTAGAATTTTGTTAACGACTATTTCCCAAATCAATGAATTGGGACCACTGGACAGCTTCCTTGATCCCCGGAGTTGTCTGTTCTCGATTTTTGTATTTAGGGATTTTTGAAATATGAAATATATTATGGTAACCAGAACAATGTCGAAAACCTCGAAAATGCTATTAGGCAAGCTTTTAGATATTTGCAAACCCATCCCGTTATAAAAAAAAAGAAGAAAAACATATACAGAGATTCAGTGGTAACAGTTTAAAAGTAAAATATTTCAGTCTGACATAAAATTTTAATATGTGTGTGACTATTTTAGTAAATATTATTTTTATTTTTTTGTTATCTATCACGGCCTACTAATAGGAAAACGATACCTTTTAAATATTGCAGTAAATAGTGAAAATAAATATAGAGTGTTAAAATATTTTTGAGAAACTCATAGCAAGACGGATCATATGACTACACTACTGTATTCAACGTAAAAAGTTCTACAAAAATCAGTTTTCACCTTCTCTATATCTTATACAATAACGTAGAGATGGGGACTGTCCCAAATTGCAAAATTTTCGATCAGAAGCGAAGAGGGCTATGAAAATTATGTTTACAGCATCTTCCGTCTGACAAAAAAGTGGGACCGGTTTGTGCAAACCGTATCCTCCTATCTTTACTAAAATGGGACACCCTGTGCATTGTTTTAAATTCAGATTTCGAATAACGAAAATTTAGGAAATAAACTAGTCAACTGATTTCTTTTTGTTGATAGTAATAAACAGGAATAGAATTTATATTAGTGTTGGTCTCATTTTCTTATAAATATTTAACTTTTGAAATTTACAATTTTTTTATTAAATACAATTAAATTTAAATCAATTATTCATTTTTATTTTAAATAATAAATCAACAATAATAATTTTTTATATACAATCGTTATTTTTTATATTTTTTTACGTAACAAGCGTTCAGTTTTTTACGAAATTATATATGTACATTATTTGCATTGTCGATTCGAACAGAAACATAACATTGTCATAATAATGAAATTTACTGGAGTATTGTTATACATTTTGCTAGTTATGGCAGTCATTTTTGACTCTACTAACGCTTTTTTTAGGAATCATGTAAACGTTACTGTAAGTAATGCACATATTTATTTTTGTATTTTTAAATCAAATTTAATTTATTTCTCTACGGTTTATTTCTTTTTAATATATCTGGTAAATCTGGTAATATGGAATCACATTTTTTTTATAAATAGGCCCCAATAATATGTTTCTTAGCCAGTGTTTTTTTTTAGCACAAGCAGATTAACATCAATGTTAAGATGGAAAAGCCTGAGAGAAAGCGTCCTATAGGATATGTAAAAATGTATACTACTTAATACAACGCATAGATTATACGAAATAATAGATATACATAGATACAAAAATTGGTATTTTATGGAATTAATTCGTATTTTTTAAAATTGAATGAAATAAAAAAATTAAAAAAAATGTGTGTTTTTATTAGTAATTTTATTATAGGTATACAGTGTCCGGCAATAGTGCGTCGGGCATCTGTAGCTCCTAAAATAAAAAACTTAAGGATTTTGTTTAAGTGCAAATCTAAACTAAGTATGTTCTAGTATGTATTCCAGGAAAACATTTTAAATTCTATAGGGTGGCTCAGAAAAGTGTAAGTGGACCGGGATGATTTTTTTTAAATGGAACACCCTTACATAATCCTAAGATATGAGTAAATATATTTCAATAGTTTCAGAGATATTAATAAATAAATAAAAAATTTATATTTTTCAGTCTTTCTTAAAAAAAATAATAAAAATACAAGAACTGTCGTGAAATCAAAACTATATTAGATATTTGCTTTAGATGGTCTGTACTTATTTTGCTATAAATATGGTAATCGTATTTCATACGGGACGTTCAAAATTTTACGCCAAACTTTTTGTATAGTAAATTTTTATCAAAGCCACCCAATGATTTTTGTCTCGTATTTTACCATTGAGAGAGCCATATGAAATAATACCGTATGATCGAAAATAAACGGCGTCCAGTTGGCTGGGAAACGACGATCGATGACATTTCCCATATAAATTTACATATAAAATGACAGCGATCTTCATTTTATAGCCATGGCTGACGGCGCGGCGCCGTTTTTTCTCGATCATACGGTACCTACTGCGTGTATCTGCGAAACCAATATAAATTTTGAAATACTTCATTTTTTAATTCTCTATCTAATAAAAAATAATATACAGGGCGTTCCATTAAAAAAAAACAAAGAAAAATTATTTTATATTTTAGAAAGTCTGGCGTAGAATTTTGAACATCCTGTATGATTTAAGATTATGATATTTAGAGCAAAGACTATAGATTATGATATTTATAGCATGACTAAAGTATCGACTATCTAAAGTAAATACCTATAATACTATTTTCAAGGTCGACATTAGTTTATGGACATTATTATTTATAATTTATAATAGTTTACTTAAATTTACCTACAATAGTTTAATAATCAAGTATTCATTCAGATTTTATCAAGAAAAATAAGGCAGTGCGGCGAAACGAATAGATATACTAGTGAGTAAATGCTTCTTGGTCTCAAGGGTTTATGCTCAAAGATATCCCAAATAGGAATCTTCCTTATAATCTTCCTTTGAAAAAGTATTTGTCTCTATTTCGCAGAGCTGGTAGAGTAAAATTAGGCAGAAACATGTCGTTGTTAATGAAGAAAATGAATTTGCCGTAATTGGCTCTTTTATAGAAAATCCATATATGTATCTACAAGTTATCGTAAAATAACTCAAAGAAGTTCTTCATCGTTTTTCATGACTGAATAATAAATACATATTTCATAAATATTATTAATTAAACTGTTGTAGGTAAATTAAATAAAAGTTAACTGATATAAATTTAAAGAAGTCCATAAACTAATTTCTATCTTAAAAACCATCTACTAATTGTCACTAGAAACTTGCCATGACAGCACTAGCCCCCTTGGTTGCCATTTTAATGAAACATTTCTCTTTGTATATTTGAAAATAATGTTAAATTGTGCACATTGTCTCCCCACATATACCCATAAAATATTTTGTTTCTAAATCTTACCGTTTCCGTATAATCAACCGAGGCGAATGAGGTGCGCCACCCTGTATAACTTTATTATACAGATTGTTAACTTGACAGTTACTTATTGGGGAACAGAATGGCAACACTGCCTACATTCCAAATGAGTACTAAGCTAAGCTGCCGACTCGTCCTGTCCCGTTGTCTCTCGACGAACGGGAAGATGTTGCCATATTTCAACCATAAAGCTCTTGCCGCGAGTAATAAACAAATTAACAACCTGTATACATTATATATATAGCATAGGAAGATGTCCTATTAATTATATAGGTACCGGGTGGCCAACTAAGAATGGACGCCGGCTGTATCTCAGAAACTACTTATCGTATAACTTTGGTAAACAAATTCTAATAAGTAAATCGACCAAGAGAAATCGCTGGAAATTATTTTCAAGTTCAAAAAATACCCGCTAGGGGGCGTTTCTCTAACAGCCAATCAGAAAACAGGGTTTTTCTCAAAAATATGCAAGTGGACAGGTATTTTAAATATTACTATTGTAATCATCGGGAAAATTTTTTAGATATAGAGTATTTTGCTCTATCTCATAAAATAAAGTGGTGGGGGAAGGTTAAATTTGCTTTTATTAAAATAAGGATAACTCTGGTTTAGGTTATCCGATTTAAACAAACTAGGGCTCGTTTAAAAGAGCTCTTCTTCCTTAATGATCTCCAGTATAAATTATGTTTCCACGATTTTTTTCATTGTAGCTAGAGGGCGCCGTTTGACATCATAACAGATATTGCGCTGTTGCGTAAATAAATTAAATAGAAGGCTATATTTCTCTTTCGACAGTTAAATAGAGCACAAAATTTCCAAAATATCAGCGTAAACCGCAACTTTCTATCTTCTCTCTAACCGAAGATATTAAGAGAACAAATCATGTTAGGCTGCCGCTTATGGTCTAAAGGCCGCGGCGTCCATTCTTAGTTGGTCACCCGGTACATATACAGGATCGCTGATATGTACGGAAAAGGTCGATTATCAAGTAAAATATACTGTATATATAAGTACCGCAAAAAATTAAATGTATTGTATTTAACTTTTTTGCGGTACCTTGTAAATTTTACCTAATAATCGACCGTTTCCATACATATCAGCGACCTTGTATAATTTTAGTATAATATTATTATTATAAATCATTAAAAAAAACAGAATATTTCTATACGGACACTGAATATTCAATATTTAAAGAAGGCAATTATTTTATTAATCTTTAATTCTACAATTACCTACAAAATATTAATTTACATTATGATGTCAGCATCCGCAAAATAATTAATTATATTACGTATTTTTGGGTGCAATATGGAAACCATTAGAATTGGAATTTTTAGAATTTAGAATGAGTGGGAGGGGGGTTAATCACTTCGACCTTACAGATCCATTGTGTCCCCCTTTCTTGAATCATAACTCATCATACAGTCCCAGGGCTTTGACAAAAGCCAGTATCTGGGACGGTTTTATAGAGGGTAGTTCTCCATCTCCAATATCAGTCGTACCAAAATTCATGGCACGAATGGTTGTCGTCTCGGCGCACTCAGTGATGAGGTGTACTGGTGTTTCCCCATCTTCCCCACAGAATCTGCATTCGCCGTTTCTTCTTAGTTTCAATCTACTGAGGTGTTCATTGAGGAGACAGTGTCCTGTTAAAACCCCGTGACAATCCGAAGATTGTTCTTACTCAGACCTAGGAAGATCTGTGATTTTTATTGATCATAAGCCCTCAGAAACTTCTTCGAGTGTCCTAGACCATTGCAAGATTTCCATTCCAGGTTGCGGATGGAATCTTCCAAGTTCTTGAGTTCCTCCTTGAGTTGGTTACCACTTGGAAAGCAGAACGGTTCTGGTCCAGTTAGTGGAGTGTTCGCTCCTTTTCTACCTAGATTATTTGCTTTTTCATTGCCTTTTATCCCTTGGTGAGCAGGCACCCAGTGTAGGAGGACTTTGTTTTCTTTGCCTAATTTATTCAGCTTCTCTATGTATTCTTTGACCAATTTCGAATTGATTGAGACTGAGTTGATCGCCTTTAACGCTGCTTGACTATCAGATAAGATGGCTATTTCTTGTTTCCGATAGTTCCTATCTAAGATAAGTTGTACGCATCTCTCGATAGCGTAGATTTCTGCCTGTAGGATACTAGGGTAAGTGCCCATTGGTTCGGAGTAATTAGCTCTCGGCCCAAACACTCCGATCCCTGTTCCCGTATTGGTTTTGGAAGCATCAGTATACCAAGTTATGGTATGGTCTTTTAACTGCTGGGCAAGCGTTTCGCTCTTCCAATTCTTCTTATTGCTCAATACTACATTGACATGTTTGTCAAAGTTGTACGTTCTTGGCATATCGTCCACTGGGAGTTGCAGGAGTGGTATTTCCCTTTTTGAGTGTTCCCAAGCCCCTGATCTGACAATTCTCCCAGTACTAATTCCGTTAGTGACCATTCTAATCATTGTCGCATTGGCATATCTACCAATGACAATGTGCAGTGGTGTTAGATCTAGAATGACCTCCATTGCTGCTGTTGGACAGGTTCTCATGGCTCCTGTGATGCAAACACATGCTAGTCTCTGGACTTTGCATAGGTTTAGCCTTGCCGTCCGTTGCTCTAGTTTTGTGTACCAGGCAACTGCTCCATAAGTAATCATGGGTCTTACTATCATGGTATACATCCAGCGCAAAATGTTAGGGGAGCAGCCCCATCTATTTCCGGCCAGTCTTCTGCATATCATGAGAGCCTTTATGGCTTTGCTGGTAGTGTTCTTAATATGCCTGTTCCACAGGAGTTTACTGTCCAGGGTTATTCCCAGGTATTTAACTTCCTGTGTTGGCAGTATTTCTTTTCCATCTAGTTGGATTCTTTTCAAGTTTTTCAGACTTCGCCTTCTGGTGAATGGCACTATCGCGGTTTTGTCTGAGTTGATACTCAGCCCGACAATCCTACACGTCCTAGCTATTTGCTGAACCTCCTTTAGAAGGGCAGGAAAGATCCCATCCACTCCTGCGGCTTTATAGGGCTGAAAGGTGTCGATCGCCCATTTCAGCTTTTGTACTGTTATTACTAGCTTGGCCACTTCCCAATCTTCCCTGCAAGAATTGTGGGGTTCAGTGGGAGCTACATAAGTATCAATAGGTATGCTACCTGGAAAGTGTGTATATGGAAACCATATATTATTTGTTAATTATTATAAAATAGGACTCAAAACAAGGCGCATTGGATGTAAAACTACCACTAACTGTCACTGTAGGAAACAAAACTGGCGGAGATTAACCGAATAGAGGGAATAACAGAAATTTGAAATAAAGATGGAAAAATATTTTATTTTAATTTTATGCCAGTTGTAGGATGAAAGCAACAAAAACTGTTTTATT